TATTTTGGATTCTTTTTCTTCTTATTGTTCTGATTGATTGTTTTTTGCTTCCTTATACTCCAAATTATTGATTTGATTCTTGGCTATATCTACTCTACTGTTGTTTCCCTATAAATTGTTCTTTATTTCAATTAGTGTATCCTTTGTTTCTGATTGGATCTTTTTTATGCTGTTGAAGTTCTCAATAAGTTTCCTGAGAATCATTATAACTAGCATTTGGAACTCAGCATCTGATAGGTTACTTATCGCCATTTTGTTTGTTTCTTTTTCTAAGTTTTGATCTATTTTTTTTCATTTGAGCCATATTTTTTTAATCAAATAGATCAATGAAATAAAATGAACATTCTAGAAACAAATATATATATTTGTCTAACAATATATGAATAAATTGATATTTCAAATCAATGGGGAAAATAAGGCTTATTCAACAAATAAAGTGTATGGACCATTATTACTTGAAATAAGACAAATATAGAGCCCTATTTCACACATTATACAAAAGATATTCATAGTGAGTTAAAATCACTATGTAAAATCTAAGGAGTTTTAGGGGAAAATACACAATAATATTTTTCTTACCCTGAAGTAAAATATTCAAACCTAGAAGCTATAAAGTAAAATATTGATAATATGACTATATTAAACATTTAAGACTATATATATGTGTTAAAGGACAAGTAATAGAATAGGAAAGTATTTGCAACACATCTAAAAAAGAGTTAATCGTTTTTTTTGAGGAAACTATTTTACAAACATTTAGTCAAAAAATGGATAAAGAATACCAAAAAGTCATTTAAAGCTTTTTAAAAATAATAGAAATAGGCAAGGAATATACAAAACAGGTTTAGTTTAAAGAAATAATAAAGTAACAATTAAAATAACACATAATTGTCACAATCAGATTAATAAGTATTAAAAATATTGGTAATATCAAGTATTGGTGACTGTGAAAGGGACGGGGTTTTCATAGACTTTTTCTTCATCTTCTCAAAGCAGTCCCTTTGGCATATCTTACAATGCTGGTTTAGTGGAGGTGTATTCTTTTAGCCTTCTTTTGTCTGAGAAACTCCCTATTTCATCTTTCATTTTAATTGAGAGCCTTGCTAGTAGAGTAGTCTTGGTTGCAGGCCTTTGCTTTTCTTTACTTGGAGTATTTCTTGCCATTCCCTTCTGGCTTATTGTGTTTCTGTTGAGAAGTCAGTTGCTAGCCCTAACAGGGCTCCCTTATATGTTACTACCTGTTTCTCCATTGCTGCCTTTAGTATTCTCTCTTTGTCTCTGATATCTGCCATTTTAATTATGATGTGTCTTGGAGTAGGCCTCTTTGGGTTCCTCTTGAATGGGACTTTCTGTGCTTCCTCGACTTGTGTGACTTCTTCTCTCCTCAAATTAAGGAAGTGTTCCATCATTACTTTTTCAAACAGGTTCCCTATCCCTTGCTCCTCTCCTTCTCCTTCTGGTATCCCTAGTATACAGATATTATTACCTTTCAGGTTGTCCTGCATAACACCTCTTCATTCTTTTTTAGTCTTTTTTCATTGTCTTGCTCTTTCTGGGAGCTTTTTTCCACCTCATCTTCTAGCTTGTGATTTGGTCTACTGCTTCATCTAGCCTGCTTTTGATTCCTTCTACCATGTTCTTCAATTCAGAAATTGTATTTTTTTATTTCCTCTTGTCTCTTATTGATAGTTTCTATGTCTTTTTTCATGCTGATATAGTTTGCAGTAAGTTCCTCATAGTTTCCCTGTAGTTTTTAGTAATTGTCCCTGAGCTTACTGAGGTCACTGAGCTTCCTTATAACCATTGTTCTGAATTTGATATATGATAGCTTACTTGCCTTTCTTTCACTTAATTCTCTTTCTGGGAATTCCTCCTTTCCCTTCGACTGAGGGGTGTTTCTTTGTCTTCTCATTATTTGTGGGACTCTTCTTTTTTGCTTCTGTTTCTTAAATTGCTCTGTCTTGACTCCTTGACTTTGTGGTGTGAACTTCTATGGTAGGAGACCTGTGAGATTCAGTGGTGCAGTCTCCTTGATCTCCTGAACTTGCTCTTTGGATGTCTTTTATGCCATTTATGTTGGCTCCCTAGAAGTTGGGTTTTTATTGTTGTCTGGTCATTCTTTGGTGGGTCTTTCCCTCCAGCTGGCTGACTGAGGGTCACTCTGCCCATCACGTCTTGTATGTTTTTGCGCAGGTGCTGCCAGAAAACCACAAAGTCCAGGAAACAAACCCACATCCACAAAAAATAACTCTTCCCTGCAATCCCACTATCAACACTGAATAAACCAGTATTAATGAGGCTGTAAAGAGATTAAGACTATTATAAGAAAGGAGAGAAATAAACTATTAGTATAAAATCTAATGACTTAATATCCACAAACCTGATAGGCTCAAAATGGACATCGAAAAGCTATGTAGTAAAGAAAATATTACAAATCATGGAGAAGACCACAGTGGATATCATCTAGGTAGCCTCTAGTATTTACCTCTGTTTTTTCTTTCTGGATTTACCTCTGATGATGTCAGATGTTGACCCTGTCTGATCTTAGGCAGCCTGTTTGAGACTTCCAGGAACCTACTGTTTGTAGCTGTCTCCTTTAGTTGTCACTCTAGTCACTTTGCACTCAGCAGTTAGGCTTAGGCACCACAGGATGAGGACAGAGTCCCTTCTGGGGGTGGGGCTATTGTGTCCTCTCAAGCTGCTGTTGATCAGGGGAGTGGTCTGCCTGAGCAAGATGGCTGCTGCCATATCGGGGGATGAGTCAGTACTGGGATCCCACCGGCTACACTCCCTGTTCTTTCCCCCAAAGCCTCCTTCCCCAGTTTCTCCTCAGGTGTCTCTTGCCCACATTGCCCCCACCTTTGCTGAAGCCCAGGGTAAGTGGCTACAAACAAAAATCTATGCGTTGACCCTTTAAACAGCTCTTTGTGTCTCCAGCCACCCGTCTCTGGCAAAGAGCAACCCTGCCGCTTTTCACAGCTGGCTGTTATCTGTGTACTTCTTGGGCTCTCGTGCTGGAGGCTGGAGATCCCTACTTATGGTTTAGACCCTGCTCTCAGGGGGATCCAACTGGCCATTTCAATATCCTTCTGGTGCTGCCACCCATGGGTGCCCTGCCTGCCTTCTCTACCATACTCCTTACCAGTTAGGTTGTACTAAAGCTAATTTTCTGTCTGTCTGCGGTTATAAGGCTCCTTTCTTGCTATTGTTCAGTTATTTGTTCCAGGTGGTCTCTCCACAATTTAATTGTAATTCCAAATTGGTCCTGGGAGGAGGTCAGTGTGACTTCCATTCACTCCTCCACTGTTAATACCCCAACCAAAGCTTTTTTCTATAAATCCCTTTGTCAGATACCTCAGGGTAGCTGCTTTAGTTACTCAATATTTCCTAGTTCAGGTTTCTAGCTGAGTGAATGAGAGCCTTTCAGCTCTAGTTTCATGGGCCAGATGGTGGATTAGGTGCCCTTGGGCTGGCTGGCTAATCCTAGCAGCTATATTGGAAATGGTGGGGTGAGGGGGTGGGAAAAGTACTATAAAACATCCTCACTCTGGTGGAGCTGGTTCACCTGTTGGTAGGTCTAAAACATATGCTGAGTGGACATGTGTATCACACATAAGTTAAATAGTAGCTATTGTAACAGTGCAATTGATTTGCCTCAGGGCTCAAATGTTAAGGTTTACTGAGTACTATCTATGATCCCTGGTGAAATTACTTTATGGGTATTCTTTCTTCTAATCTTTGCAGCTCCTCTGTAAGTAGGCCTAATTATTATTCATATGTTACACATGAGGAGCTCACACCCACTAGCAGATATTAGACAGCCTGCCAGAAGTTGTCTAGTGATAGGTAAGTGGTGGAGGCTGTATTTCACACAGCCCAGGCAATCTGACTCTAGGCCTAAGCTACTGAACACCATTATTGCCACATCTATGAGAAACAAAATTGCAATTACAGTGGAACCTCCATTTCTTAACTTAATTCATTCCAGACAACTGAGAAGCAATACGTTCAAAAACCCAATATCCTTTGCTTGTTGCCTGAAAGATGCATGACTGACAAGCGAGGCATTTTTTTTTTCTGTGAACAACTTGTTCAAGACTAAATTGTTCAAGAACCAAGATGTTTCAGAATTGAGTTTTGACTGTATTATCATCTTTTAGAAGAGTTCATCTCTGGGGAGAGTTTCCTTCTTTCCAGCAGTGTTTCCAAAAACAATAGTGTGATGGCCCTAGTTACTCAAGATGTTGCTGTTAAAAAACGCTCGATAAAGGATACACAGGATCTAGACCAGGTATGTCTTACAACTGCATGTGAACCTACATTTATCTCAAAATAAAGCTAAATAAATATTATAGTAGCAGCATCAACTGCCATGGATTCATCTACTAAACAAACATCTGCTAGGCACCTGCTAGGTTCCAGGCCCTGTTCTCTAGGTGCTGGGGAGACAGAGAAGCAGGGCACATACAAAACTCCCAGACCTCATGGAACTAGTATTCTAAAGGAAGTTGTCTTGTCCAAAACTTTATTCTGTCAGGTTGCTTATAACTCAAGTTATTAAATACAGGCTATTATGTAAATGTTGATTACAAAGTATTCTCTTCCTAATCCCTGCAAAGGAGGTCTAATTAGGTTTCCCTGGGTTACTTGACAACACTTATAGTATTTGTGAATAGCAAACTTTGCCCCAAATGGTAAGTAAATGAGTCACTTTTCTCTCCATTTAAGTGTTTAAAATACCTGCAAAAGTTCAATGCTGCTATATTCCACACATGTTGGAAAGTCTGACTCCCTTCTTTTCCGTGCTCTCCTTTGCTCCAGGTGGCAGGGTGTCCAACAAGGAAGCTGTGGACACCATCAGTTGTCCCAGAGATGGTGTGGATGTGACTGATGAATCACGAATCCTGGCTAATGCTCCCAAAGAAAGATGTTTCTCTGGACCATTCCAAGACCCTAGAAATTCAAGACATCTGGGAGGATGCAGGCAGCCCACAAAAAACGGCAGCCACCAAAGCGCTGAGGGGAGCCCTTCCAAGTGTGGTTGTCTGGACCCCAAGCCCTTCTCCACGATGTCCTGTAACCACACGTCCATTGAGACTTTTGAATACCTGCTGCTGAACGGAAGCAACGTGTCAGACTCTGGTGTGACCCTGCCAGCTGCACCCCTCCGGGTGTGCTTGGCAGTTATCATGATGCTGATGATTGTGGTCGGATTCCTCGGCAATTCTGTCGTCTGCATCATCGTGTATCAGAGGCCAGCCATGCGTTCAGCCATCAACCTGTTGCTGGCCACACTGGCCTTCTCCGACATCATGCTGTCCTTGTGCTGCATGCCCTTCACTGCTGTCACCCTGATCACCGTCCACTGGCACTTTGGGGATTATTTTTGCCGGCTCTCAGCCACTCTATACTGGTTTTTTGTTCTGGAGGGCGTGGCTATCCTGCTCATCATCAGTGTGGACCGCTTTCTCATCATCGTCCAACGCCAGGACAAGCTGAACCCGCAGAGGGCCAAAGTGATCATCGCCGTGTCCTGGGCACTGTCCTTCTGTGTCTCGGCTCCTTCACTGGCCAGCTGGACCATTGTGGAGGTGCCAGCACGGGCCCCCCAGTGCGTGCTGGGCTACACGGAGTTTCTGGCCGGCCGTGCCTACGTGGTAACGCTGGTGGTGGCTGTGTTCTTTGTGCCCTTTGGCATCATGCTGTGTGCCTACCTGTGCATCCTGCACACAGTCCGGAAGAACACCATTCGCGTCCACAACCAGTCTGACAGCCTGGACCTGAGGCAGCTCACCAGGGCCGGCCTGAGGCGGCTCCAGCGGCAGCAGCAGGTCAGCCTGGACTTGAGTTTCAAAACCAAGGCCTTCACTACCATCCTCATCCTCTTTGTGGGCTTTTCACTGTGCTGGCTGCCTCACTCAGTCTTCAGCCTCCTGTCAGTGTTCAGCAGGAGGTTCTACTGCAGCCCCTCCTTCTACATCACCAGCTCCTGCGTCCTATGGCTCAGCTACATCAAGTCTGTCTTCAACCCCATCGTCTACTGCTGGAGGATCAAAAAATTCCGCGAGGCCTGCATAGAGTTGCTGCCCCAGACTTTCCAAATCCTCCCCAGAGTGCCTGAGAGGATCCGAAGGAGAATCCAACCAAGTACCATCTACACGTGCAATGAAAACCAGTCTGCTGTCTAGGGAGAGGCAGATGGATTGGAGGAAGCACATGGGGACTGGGCCAGGTGCTATCTGTCCTTCTGTTCTGCTTCCTGGCACTTGAGTTCTAGTTGATATTTTGTGGAGGCCATTTAGGCACAAAGGTACTCATTTGTGACCAGGTGAGCTACAGCTCCTGTGTTTGCAAGATGAGCTATTTCTGTTTCTTGCTGCAGGGTGTGTGTCTGATAGAGATTGGAAAGTAGTTAGGACACTGGAAAATGGGTGGGGAAGTGAAGGAGGTGGGCAGAAAGTTAGGGAAGAGGAGTGGAGGGAATGAGGTTGGTTGAGTGTGGGGCAGGACGAAGGCTCTGCTTAAGATAAACCCCGTGGTGCCATATTCTGAGATGAGCAACCCAAGCAGGTATCATCTCACTGTTTAGCATTTACTTTATTTGATGCCAGCATTCTTCAGTGGCACTTACGTCTGCAGTATATAAGGAGACATGCATGTTCTTTACATTGATCAGATGTGCATTTATGACCATGCTAAATCATCCTTCCTATAAACCAAAATCACTCTGGAGAGCAGAGTGAGCCCCTGTGCTTCTTAGTTCCCAGTCTGACATGTGGGAGGGGTGGTTCAGGTGCAGCTCAGCTGAGAAGGCAAGCCCACCTGTGTGCCACGTATGTGCCCTACCCCTCCTCTCTGCACAGCCCACCCTATCCCTGCACCTGGAAGCCCTTTGTCCTCCCTGTCTGCCATGACAGTCCTTCTGCCTCTTTTCTTACCTCGCTGGTCCCCATGCCCCTCATTGTTTTCATTCCACCCCTTCCAGTGACAAAAAAAACCATCCTCTTATAATTCATCTTTTCAGCAAGTATTTGTAGCTTTCCATTTCAGAAGTGGTCAGCGGGCTTTGTTTACATGATTCCCCTCAACACTGAGGCTGTAGCCTCTGAGCTGCCGTATCCACTTTAGCACTGGAACTGCTGGCAGGGGTGTGCCAGACACCCGACCTGCTGGCAGTCCCCATGGATCTCTGTGCTCCTCCTACCTCATTCTGATGCTGTCCTCTGGGCCCCTACCTAGGGTCTTGGTCCTCTGAGCCCAGGCAGGACTAGGATCCTAGGAGTGAAGCTGCCTAGAATGGACTTTTCTGCTTGTGCTGTACCCTCAGCCACTATGCCAAGGGCCACCCATTACCAGTGGGAGCTTCTGACATGGGGTTGACATTCCTGAGTTTAAGGCACACCACTAAGTCCATGAAGCTCTCTTGACAGATTCAGATCTGAAGAAAGCTGGAAATTTAAGAAGAAATTCAGAAAATCTGATTCCAAATATAACTCTAATAGGAACTAGTTGTGACCTTGTTCATTTCAAATAACTTCTCTGGACCTCAGTTTTCCCATTTACCAAGTGAGGAAGCAGGTCTAGATGATTTCCAACGTCCTTTTCATCTCTCAAACACTCCGATTCTAAAATGTGTATATTGTCTACATGTAGTCACAAGACCCTCTGAATTCATTTATGTATCCAAGCAATGAGCCCTTATTAAGTGCCTACCAGATGAAAGGAACTGTGGGACAAGAAGTGATGAATAAGGCACAGGCTGTGCCCAAAAGCAGTTGTTCAATTCAGCTCAAGATCATCATAACTCAAATTTGGCCTAAAAACACAGATGCTTCGTTTTTGTTTCTCCTCTTTTTTTCTTTGCAAGGTTGTATTAAGACTCCAGCTCCATTTCTCATGTTCGCGTACTGCGGTATTGGTGACAGAAGCAGGAAAACACCAGGAATTACAGAGAACATAATTTATGTTATCTAAGCCCTGGGGAGGATTTTTTGAGAGAATAATTGATACCTTTTCTCCCTAACTTTATCCTCCTTTTATACCCAGATGCAGAGAGAAAGAAGATGGGCAATTGGGATGTGATTGATTAAGATGGGCCCCATCAATTCTGTGTCCCAAGTGCCCCCAGCAAGGTCCGGGTTTGCTTTCAGCTCCCATGAGGCAGTTGCACAGCCTTAGTGGTGTCCAAGAGCACAGCCAGACCACCAAGGGGACCAGGCCAGTGGGCATATCCTCTCTGGTGGGCATTTAATAAAATGTTCCTCCGGAGCCTTGGGTGAAAGAGAAATCACAAAACTGAATGAATGAAGGTACCAAAATTTATATCAATCAGTGTTATATGATGTATGTTGGATAGTAATATATGTTTTGAAGTAATAATTTTGTATATATTTTAAATAAAGTATTATTGCTCTTTCTGTGTATAAGACTATACTCTTGCCAAAATTAGCACTAAGACCATGAATAGTAAGCCAAAAATCTGGAGTCCAAAGTCTTCTAAGACAACAACTTTAGGAAATCTAGAACCTGTCTGTTACTAACCAAACTGGAATGACTAAAGATGGACATTGATGATAAGAAGACAACTGGGAGACTGTTGGAGCAATGGGGTCAGTACTGGGGTGCCCGCCGGCATTTTTTTTCAGTCGCAGCCCTGCTAAGTAACTGCAACCAGTGAGCCTTCAGCTCCGACTTTCAGTGTGTCACCTTCAGAATTCTCTCTGGCCTCACTGAAGCTTTCACAAACTCTACTTTCCTAAAATGTTGAACACTGAGTTCTTGTCCCCTTCTGTGAGGTTTGTAGGGCAACCGCTGCTTCGTTTTTTTTTGTTTTTAATCTCTTCTTTAGGCCTGGAGTCACCCAAAACTTGGGCACCCGAATTGCTTTATGGGGACCTTGGGGGAGGCCACAGTAATAACTATCCAGGAGGTTGGCCCTTGGGTCCCTTGGGAAAATCTAGCTTTAGAAAACAAGACATGAATAAGTCTCAGAAGTGTCATCCTAATTCTGACTAGCCCTGAAAACCCATTACGTTTTCATCTTGAATCTGGGTCCCTGCTGTTGGGGTGAAATCAAAGTAAAGAGTCTCTAGGACATTCTGACAACCAAGATAAATGACAAAAATCTAGATCAATTCCTACTTTACTGTTCCGAGCCCTGGATGTGCCTTCCCTGAACATGATTTACAGCGCATACTTTTTTTTTGGACTAAAAACCTGCTAGTTTAGAATTTACAGTGTTGCCCTGCCCCTCTTGCTCATGCAGTCAGCAGCCCTGACACCCAGAGCACCTGAAGTCTCAGGGTGCCCAGCACCAGGGTTTTGCTCTTATGGAAATGCCTAGGTGATAGAGCCAAAAGGGTATGCACTCCCTAAAACCAGGGCCACCACGCTTTCTCTGTGATTCCATGCAAGTGATTTTGTGCCCTATTTCATCTTCTAGGTGATGTGAATACTTTCACTCAGATGGCTCAGTGAGGAATAAATGACATAATGTGTATAAAGGACATAGTCCCACACCTGGGCCATGGTAGAGGCTACATATATGGTAGCAATAATTATCACAGTTGTACTGTCAATTTTGTCTTTTGGGGAGCAAGGGTAGCAATTTGTTTCTGAAACTGGCTGTTCAGTTCCTTTCCTCACTCCCATGTGGTCATATGATTTCAGGGTTCAGTTGATAAGAGCACAGCATCCCCTAAAATCAGGAGCATGGATTTGACTTTAAAGAGCAAAATTCTCGATGGTCTGAACTGCAGCACTGATTGCATTTGAAATTCTCTCAGGGCTATAAGTTGGCCTCTCAGGGCTGCTAGGAGCCTGGGATGGATGGGTGAGTGCAACCCTGTTTTGCCAGGAAGGCAATCTGCAGTGCACATCCTGCTACTCTGAGGGTGGTTCTGCATCTGTAGGGTTGAGAGCTGAGAATGTATGGAGGCTCGATGGAGAAAAGATTGTGGATTAGGGTAAAAGGGTAAGGCTATCATAGCAGACACCCAACTCTAAAGAAGCTTAAAAAAAATAACCTCGTTTCCCCTCTCATTAAAGTCCAGAGCACGTAGGCAGGTTCTCTGCTCAGGAAGTGGCTCAGGACTCGTTCCTCACCCCTTCTTGTTTCCCACTGTCTCCCAGCTCCTTGTCCTCATGTTTCTGGTGAATCCTGGCTGCAGCCAGATATGTATTCTGGCTCCTGAGGGGAGGAAATGGTATGGAGTAGCAGTGGGGAAAAACTCACCACACTCCCCTGGGCTCCACTGGTCAGGAGCTGAATCCTGTGACTGCACAGCTGCAAAGGAGGCAGGGAGATGGAGTTGAGAGCCAGGCAGCCATATGCCTGGCTCAGAAGGAGAGGAAGAGGATTTGGGGGATTTCCAGCCATCTCTGCCAAGACATCGCACTACAGATACCTAGTCTTAAGTTCTAAGTACAATTTCATCAATGAGTCTTTTCTCATTGCACAGTAAACACATCTCTGTCACATCAACCCAAGATGGCTGCCTCTCCCTTTACCTCTAGCCCCCAGTGTACAGGGCACCTGCTTCTAGATACAGAAACTGCAAGCATTTATGCCTGTGCCAAGGAGTAGGTCATCACATTTAACCTTTTAGATGCAAAAGATGTGAGAGGCGAAAGATAAACAATTTGAATATTTGCAGCCACAATAGGATCGACTTTGCTAAATAAGGAAAAAATTACTATTTAAAACAAAGTCAACAGCAATTGAGACAACTTTGCCTGATAATTTGATTATGTTAAAGAAAAAAGTATAATTTTTCTTTTTTAAAATATATTTTTTTATTAATTATGCTATTACAGTTGTCCCATATTTTTCTCACCCTTTTATTCCCCTCCATCTGCACCCCCACTCCCACCAGCATTCCACCCTCCCCTTAGCTCATGTCCATGGGTCGTATATGTAAGTTCTCTGGCTTCTCCATTTCCTATTCTATTCTTAACTTCCCCCGTCTATTTCGTACCTACTATTTATGCTTCTTATTCCCTGTACCTTTTCCCCTATTCTCCCCGCTTCTCCTCCCTTCTGATCTCCATTTATGTGATTCTGTCTTTGTTCTAGTTGTTTGCTTAGTTTGTTTTTGTTTTCTTTAGGTTCAGTTGTCGATAGTTGTGAGTTTGTTGTCATTTCACTGTTCATAGATTTTTATCTTTTTCTTAGATAAGCCCCTTTAAC